TTTTTTTGAAATTTACCTCCTCCTTTACTTCAGTTTTATCATATTTAATTAAATATTCTGAGTCTTGGAACACATAACTTTTATTCCAGAGTTAATATTTTTGATGAAAATTAGAATGTCATTTGCTTCATCTTCATGACGGTTGTGTCTGTGACATAAACCAAACATCAGTTTAATATTAGATCTCCCATGTCGAGGAGCTAATATTTAAGTTAATCTTTGTCAAGTGTTAATTTGAAGGGTCTGAAATTGTTCTCGAATTAATAATGAGATGCCTGTTCGCGTTTCCCAAGCGGGATGATGTTTTAATCCAATTTCTTTTATCTTTTCTTTCACAACTCCACCAGTTAACTCAATAAAAGACATTAACAAGCAAATGTTTTGTTAACGAAACAAACACTGATACCACAAAACGCATTTTTAATTGACAGTAAAGGAAAACTGCTGTTGAGGGACACATGGCATAATTTTCTTTGAAAAAGGCAGGTTCATAACCAAAGATAACAGGGCATTCTGTTTGGCATCTGATTAAATAGCTTGTTACCTCATTATCATCATTATTTTCACTATTATGATGATTATCATCATGATTACTCATAACATCACCATTACCATCTCTAAATTCGCCAATTCATTAAACGATTTATGCAGGCATTATTTATCTATCTCTTCATTTTTCTATTTATTTATTTATTTATTTATTTATCTGTTTATTTATTCATCTATATACTTACTTCAATCCACTTTCATGTTGTTGGTTCTTTTAGTTCGCAGTGGGTGATTGCCCAGAAAACTTTTACTGGGATGGAAAAGAATGCAGTGCATGCTCAGGCTGTCCACGTGGGTTTGGTTTGAAGAAATCTTGCACGAAGACCAAAAACACCGAATGTCAAAAATGCTATCCTGGCTATGATTACTCGAACAGCACAGGGATGGAGGAGTGTATAAAGTAAGTTAGTGTTATGTCATGTTTCGCTTTAAAGACTGATAGTTTCTAAAGAAACTGTTTGGGGCTGCGTCGGTGGGGGTAACGAAATAATATGAATAAATCAACAAAGTTGAAATGGTAAATTGGCCACCGTTACGCTTATAAAAGCTGACGTTTCGAGCGTTAGCCCTTCGTCGGAGCCAATAGGGGAACTGTGGGTTGTGTGTGCTTTTAAAGGCAGAAAAAGGAGCTACGGGATTGGTGTGAACATGGCAACGAGAAAAACACGAATAAATTAGGGCCAATGTAATGTATTGCATAACTTGCACTTATTGCAAAAAGATTTACATCGGCGAAACAGGAAGAAGACTAGGTGAGCGATTCCGAGAACACCTTCGCGACGTGGAGAGGAATGACAAGGACACATCGAAACCAGTCGCTAGACATTTTAATTTACCTAACCATTCTAACCAACACATGGCGATCTGCGGTGTTTCCTTACATTTAGGTAGCACGGAAAGCCGGAAAACTCTTGAACAAAAGCTCATCTTTCAGACCGGCAGTCTAATTCCCATAGATATCAACGAACGCTTTTTATGCCACTAATTTATTCGTGTTTTCTCGTTCACATGTTTCCACCAATCACGTAGCTCCTTTTTCTGCCTTTAAAAGCACACACAACCCACAATTCCCTTATTCGCTCCGACGAAGGGCTAACGCTCGAAACGTCAGCTTTTATGCACTCTAAATCTTGCCAATTGTGCTCCATCTATTTATACCTCTTTCTCTCATGAGTTATAAGCATGTTTTCTGATTTCGCTCTCTACTTTAAGAGTCATTAAATTAGAGTTATTATGCTATAGAAAATGTTCGATATCACCTGGTGGGTGAATCACATTGTTCACAGCCTCTTTGTTTTGGGAAAGCGACACAAGATTGAGAGGATGCAAAGATGGATCTTCGACAAGCCCTCGGTGGACTTTTTTTATCAAACCATCTTGCATTTGGTAATATTTATTCAAAGTAAATTCAGTTATTTGTGATATCAAAACCTTCTAAGCTAAAAGCACTGTTTTTCCCTCTCATTGAAGGTGCGATACGTTCTCCAATTGTCTACCTGGACGATCAAAAAAAGTACAAGAATGTACGATCTTTTCTGGACCTATCTGTGACGGATGCGAAGAGGGCTACTACCATAACCCAGTCGTCGGCTGTGAAAAGTGTTCACCCGGATGTGATGCTAGAACTGAGGACGAAATACAGGCATGCACAACTAAGCATAACCGCAACTGTGCACCAAAACGAGTGCGGCCCAAAACTCCTACCGTCAGTAAGTTAATTTACTTGAATTTGCTTTAATACTCTGTGAAACAACCTTTAAGTAAGGGGCTAGATATACTTTCCTATAAAAGAAATTCCATTCTCGAAATTGGACGGTGTGCTGAGTTTACTTTACTGTAATTCTTGGCACTTACTGAATGGGCTATCTCATTTGAATCTAAGCTTCTATTTTGTGTTTATTTTTCGGCTTTGATTTTTTGTTTTTGTTTCTGTTTTTGAGGTAATGACTCAATAGGTAGAGGTCATCCTAACATCACTGGCAACGATGAGGATGGCGAGATACCACCACTTCGTCCTGAGCCGGTAGGATCTAAATCAACTCAGGCACCAGAGGAAAATTTGATCGTTTTAAACCCGTGGCTTTGGGTTCCACTAGGGATCGTACTACTCGTCGTGGTCACAGTCCCAATAGCGTTTTTTAAAAGAAAATCTCGGGTAATTCGTCGAACTCGAGTAGAAGGCGATGTACATACATATAACACAGGGCAGCATATCGCTTTACAGGAGCAAAAGACCCCTTTGATAACCGAAGGCAGTGTGGATGTCCAAAATGGGAGGGACATTTCCTCTTTGGCTGAGCAAGGAGATCCATTTGAACCCAGTCATGAATTAGGTGAGCTTGTATTACTTGTCGTCCTTTTTTATATTTTAAAGCCGTTTTTGTATATTAAGCGCAGATTTTCTGAAGTAAATAAATTCGATAAAAACCACAATCTGAGAGATGCTTCTTTGCCAATTCAGTAAATTTTGGGTAACATGAACTCTACTCTTTATATTTTTGAACTGTTAACTGTACATAGATCTTTATGCTAAACGTAATTAGTCAGTAGGCACTTTTTATAGTGATCTCTCTACCATATACCCTATGATCTTATGAGAAAATTAATTGCCTGACGATGGAATTCCTTCGGTAATGAGTTTTTCTTTAGTCGCATAACTGAATAAAAATGAGAAAAAGATTAAACAGCGAAAATTGATTGTTTGTTTTATCCTGAACACGAAACAAGAGATGCGAAACAATATCACAGCCTCGTTTTGAATTCGCAATTCCACGGCAAGTACCTCGCCCGCTAACCAATCAGAATGCGAGATTATTCAATTATGCGATTCTAACACAGATTTGTATGCGATTAAGGGGTTATCAAAACATGTCTTATCAAAACAGGTGTTATCAACTATTTTTCCCACGGCTTTGTTAAAGTTCTTAAAGATTTAAAGGAAAGCAGGCATCACCCTTGAAATGTTTTTCAAATGGAACGTCGAACCTCTCTAATCTGCTTTGCTGTTAAATCTTCAGACGCAGATCCGGAAGGGGTGGTTTTGGATGCTCCAAAACCTTCTTCAGAAGAACTCAGCAGACAAGCAGGTTCGCTTAAAAAATTCAGTACATACGTTTGTGATATGAGGGGGGGGGGAGGGGATGCATTGTGTGTTATAATCCATTAGAAACCTCCCCTCCCTTTTCTCAGAACAAAAACCTCGCCCAGCCCCTGATTTTATAGTCACAATAACCATCACCTATGTTATTACATTACGACCGTTATTATTTTGATTCTAGGCTTGGATCGTCCCATTAAAGATCTAACAATTAAAGAAAAGACGCCAATAATAACTGACCTGAGTGGCAAAGATGGGCAAGGTAGGCAGAAGTTCTTTACCGATAGCCGTTAGTGTTTTATAAAAAGTGGTTTTCCTACAAGGAAATCAACACTACTTATACCATTTGTCTTTAATGTACTCTTCCACTGGTTGTGTTTGTAGTTTTCCCTAAATGCTCTATCTCAGTAGCTATTGATTAAAGATGTTTCTCTCAAACAGTTTTCCATGTTGTTGTTAATTTAGGTTATTTTTACTGGCAACGTGTTGCGGAAGAACTTGGTTTCCAAGAACAGTCCAGAGGATGGGAAGGAGTCCAAAATCCAGTTGAAAACCTTCTTAAGACATTTGGCGAAAGGGAAGGAAGTACCATCAGAGGATTGATAGAAGCCACTAGAAAAGCTGAGCTGACGCTTTTAGCAAGTCAGTGGGAAGAAAAATTTGATACGTCCTCAAGAGACGAGACAACTGTTTCTGTCCATTTACAGTTGGTTCAAGGAAAAACAAACGATAAGTTTACTTCTGTTGATATACCTCCAGATCCGGGGAAAGAGAATGGTGCAAATGAATCGGTTTTATTAACACCAAATAAAGGTAAAATAAACGATAAGGCTGATTCTGATATAAATGTACCCGCCGACACAGGAGAGGAAACTGCTGAAAAAGATATTGCTGATACAGCTGTATGAAAAGCGCTCTTGTATGAATAAGTAAATACTGAATCAATACTGACTTTCGTATCATGAATCAACCAAAAATAGCATCAATCGAACATCATTTTATAATAGCATGTGGACTTGAATACCACCTGCCCCATGATTGGTTGTCACGGACCGTACAGACACGCGGCTGAAGTGACGTTCTTACCTTTGTTTTGTCCGAATCGGAGTCCTTCCTTTATTACTTTTTCTTATCTTGATTAGTGCCAAATTTCTACGCATTGAGCGCGCGAATGCTTCCAAAGGAATTACACAAAATAAGTTTACGTCCTTGAGTTTATCTAGCGTCTAACCGCAGCATGGCTTTACCGCCCTGGGAAGAGAAAGGGCAGGGGGGGATAGGAGTGGGGTGGGGTGAGGAGATTCATGTTCACTGATTCAACGAAAGTCACTCAAGCCTTCAGAAAGTCTGAGTCGAATTGAAAGCTATGACCGCTTTCTTCGACAGAAAAAATGCCATTTAAAAATTATGTGCGAGTCTCAAGTTAATTAAGGACTGATTATTTATGTCGCAACTTCAAGTTGACAGCTTCAATGCAATTGTAAAATTACGATAAATTATGAAAATTTTGGGTGACGGCAGGTATTTACATTTTGTGCTATACTTGGCAAAATAACGCTTTACGTTTAATTTAATTGCAAGATAAAACATTAGAAAATTTTTATTTACTCTTGGATACAATTTTTTCCACTTAAAAAACCAGACGAGTATAAAACTGTTTACTCCATATTAATTCGAGTAACATGTATTGTTAAAATGTTCGATCGGAAATTGGCACCATATAGGTTCTCTATTATTCAAGTGTAGAAACATTTATGTATCCGTTTTGTTATTGTGGTTTGGTTTATCTTATTTGCTTTTGTTGTTTGATTAAAGGGTGGATAATGAATGAACGAAGCACACCACCTGGGTCCTAATCATTAGCTTTTTACTTTGAATTTTTACATATTTTGGTACCTGGTAGATCCGACAAGTTTAAAGTAGTTTCAAATCATTGTTTTTGTTTATAGTTTTCAGTAAAATTTTTACGAGTGAATGTATAGTTTTGTAAATTTGTAGAATCGATTTTTTGTACTTAACGAATGAAAAATGTACTCAATATTTGCAAAATGTGATAGTGAAAAGAGTATTTCCATATCACTCAAGGTAGATCCAAGCAAATTGAAATATTTTTCTAACATCATAATTTGTGTCGTGAGCTGGCTGACAAATAAAAGCATATTATCATACGTGGATACTGTTCTCGGTGTTTTTTTTTCTTTGTACATTTTAGAAAGTATGAAGTAGAAAATGCCATAATTTACTTGTAAAATTGTCCCCAGGTTATTAGTAAATGTCTGAATAACATTTCCTTCTCACAGTATTTATAACAAAAAATTAAATCTGTAAGTTAGCGAAATGATCCATATGTATATTCGTAAAGAATCAGGCACATAATCGAGAAGAAGTATTTTCTCTTGACGGTATTTAATAACTATCGGTTTATATGCATGCACAAGCTCCAGTTTTTTAGGCCTCTTGAAGATGACTTCACAAATCAATTTCAGCCCTGGCTCAATTTTTTTTTTTTTTTAGTTTAACCAGTCAACACTCTTGAGGTCACTATGCCTCAAAAATTTTGAACAGTTTCTTTAGTTGTTTAAGTCCTTATTCATTATCGACTCGATGGGAAAAGCCACAGATTGGAGAAAATCGAGGGTAAAAATGTAGGGTAATGATGTATCGCTGTTGATTAGCGATATCGTTTTCGCTCCGCGGTACAGCGGTTTCGCCTCGCCGATGCACAGTTTCCATCCAGCGAGTTGTCGCTACCGCTGATAGATACCGCTGACAGATCGCTGAACAATATTACGACCAGCGAATTTTCCATTACGCGAAGGAAAGTATGTAATCGATTCGACTGCTTCTAACATGACAATTTCTATCGGCGCTAACAAGATTGTTCTTTTATGGCTGTATGCAGTACGAAAATTGAAGCGTTCGCGCATAACTTATCGAACGTGAAAACAAGGGTGTTAACACTTAAAAATTGCCCGCTGTCTCAGCCAACCATCAAGAAAAATTGTAACGCTGTCATAACAGGAGAAAAAAAAATTCGGTCACTTACTTGAAAATTTTGCTGCGAGATTTCCAAGCTCTACCAGAATCTTTAGTTCCAGAAGTTCTTCTTTGAGTTCTGTGCGAATAGCCATAACATTAGCCGGTTTCTTGCATTCGTTACCGCCGCATAGCAATACAATTGTAAATGTATACAACCCGTCAGGATATGGATAGCTTGAAGTTTTTTTTTAATAAATTGAACCGAGTACTGGTCTCAGTAAGTTTGTGACGCGTAATTGTGCGCACTCAAAGCGATAAATTGAGGTCAGAAAAATTATAATCAAACCAAGGCTCGACGGAGAGATGTCTTTAACCTTTTACCTGCTTGGTTCCCAAACACTTGAACAAACTGCCCCCAGTTGTTCCGCTGTCATCAACCTGGAACTCAAACACACTTGATAGCTTGTCTCAGAGGTAGTGTATCTCGTTTGTTGGTTTGGAAATTACCGTATTTAGCTGTGTTTCGCGTAAATAGTCAGCTTCGGTCGACTCATGCAGTCCTTTGGCGATGTGCCTGTCATGTGATTCAAGTTTTGCAGTTTTGGCAGTCGGAAGTAACATTGACGTCCGGTCATTTTATTTTGAAAGGGGCAGTTGAGAATTAAAAGAAATTTAGTACGCTCCCACATTGAAAAATGAGAATTTAGTTAAACAATAATTTGGAAAACGATTTTGTGAGGTTGTAGCCGAGTCATATCCAATATTTCAATTTTTTTTAATCCCCCCGTATGTTCTGTAGGCGACGACTTATCTCCACTACCCCTGAAAACCATGAAAACATGAAAAACCATGTGATTCCTCGACATCCTCTGACCCCCTCCCAGGCGATAACTAAGGACAAGTCCCTTCTGAACAAACTGTTCATAATACTTACATAGAACAAAAGACAGAAACGGCGTGAATCACAAATACGACCAGCTTTGCGTCCTCGTGCCGTATTCGAAGCCATTAGGCATCCGGAGACCGCCAGCAATGTTAGCACCGGATCCTCCATTTTGGTTTCACCGCAAACTCAAAAGATTGCAGGCGGAAATAATATCTGGATTCGAGAAAAAAAGCGGTTACACGACAAAACTTTCTGGATTCAAAAGTTATCAGATTCAAAGTTCCCACTTTAAATTCCGGAATCAAAATCTCCGGAGACACGACCAAACCGGGGAGTTTTTATTTCGGATTCGTCCGACTTTCGTGTAAACGGCTAAATCAATCCGGTACCAAAACGTTTCGGATTCATCACAAATCCGGAACAATTTCCCCTAGTGTAAACCTAGTCTTAGTTATATCTTTAATAAAATAACTTTCAATTCTTCCGAAACAAAATATGAATTCAATGAAGTAAGCAGGAAATTGTGAAGCAAATCCCTTTGTCCAACAGTGCATGCTACATCAAGAAGGGATTTGTGGTTTCGGTAAATGATAGGCCCAAAGGGCTTGTGTCCGGATCAGAAAGTCGTTGCCTTCTCCTTTGGATGTGAGTGTTATTTTTGACTATTAAAAAAACATTCTCAAGAAATTCTGTTGTTTTAAAGCCATGAATCCGTGAAACCATATTTTCTGTTTCATAAAAAAAGAAATGGAAAAGATTGTTATAGCCCGTTTTAATACTTACCAAGAGATTGATATTCCGCAGGTAATAATGATCACTGAGCGAGCAATGTTTATGCCATCCAAGTCACATGCCGGCGTTGTCAGGACAACAACCAACTTTTTAAAAATAATCATAACCCTATTTTTTAGGATTAGTTCTCACGAATATCTTAGTCGTACATGTGTTTTGTACCGCTTTGTTTTATTATGTTTTGTGTTGTTTTTCAATTTATTTCCTCATAGGATGATTCATTTGCACGCATTCCCCTAACATTTCCTCGTGATTCAAAATTCAGTGGATGGATTAGCTGGCAGCCAAAAAAAAAAAAACACTCGAAAGGCCACAAACAACAACCTTTAAACACGATTAAAGAGGCTAGAGATTAACTTGTAAAAAAGTAAACTGTTGGCAGGCCAAGTTGTGACAAGCGACTGTTAATTCTGTTTTGATTTGTTAACAAAAGCAATGTAGTGGGTATTTACCGCCCGCAGGATCGGAAGTTTTCCTTAGATTATTTCCTCTCTGACCGGCCACAACCGATTACGCCGGCATTGCAAATTAAAAAAAGCTAGGACAGTTTCGATCTTGGTCTGTGCTATGAATAGCTATGTACGTGTGTTAGAAGAGGCCATATCTATTTTAAGTCAGTGAGGCGAATGCGACCGTCTCTTGAGGCAATACTTAATTAACCCTAAACGTGATTGAAATTAATTACGCATCGGTTTTCGAATAGACTGCTTCTCTTTGCTCTATAACCTAGAATACTTTTCAGCAGGGGGTTTCCGGTTTACTTGCTAAACGAAAAGGGTGATAAATCTTTCTCTTTCGAACCGCTTTTATCACGAAAGGTGTAACACCTGTAAAACCAAAGATGTCAAGTGATTGTCACCACACTGTGTTAAATGTTCTATGGGGGCCACCAAACGCTAAGAAAAGCTAAGAACACTTTTCCTCTGAATGACAGGAATCACTTTGTTACTCAGTTCTATTAAACCCGATCAAACAAGGTACATGCAATTTTGCCAATGGATGCATGATGCAAATATATGAGTCACTTCAAGAGTTTTCAAAAACCACAGCAAGTGATCTGTAGCCAGAAATCCTCGGTTACAAACTCACTCTCGACTCAACGAAGCCGTGGAGTCAGAATACGTGACCCTCAAGGATCTTGAGAAATGATAACATTTGTTTAACATTTACTCCACTTAATGGTCGTCAATATCACACTTGCGGTGCGTGGAACACTAAAGAAAAGAAAGCAATTCTGCCTCAGTTTTGTGTAAATATTATAAGAATTATCATTTCCATTGTTCAATCTAAGTAATTTCGATACATTAAGGTTTTCTGAATAGGACTACGCAATAATTGAGGCAAAAATTTGATTTTACTTCACCGTTTTAACAATTGCTAAGAAATACTGTACAAAGTTATCAGCTTAATGTCCTCTCTAATGAATTCATTTTTTTTTTGTAATTGATTACTTGACATTTACATGTCACTTTTCCGATTTCCGATAAGACTTCAAGACCGAGGCTGGACATCAAACAGCTCAATTCAAAGTCGGCACATATTGCTGGAGTCATAAGGCTTCCACAACCCATTGTCCTGTTCAAAAACAGAGTATTCAATCAGTTTTACGTTTCTTCTACCCCGTGACAGAATAAATCAATTTTCAGAGTTAGAGATTTAAAACTTCAATCTGAGAGCATTTAAATGATAAAGCCCTGACAAAGCTTCAGATTGTCATATAATCTTTTTTCCTTCCCCTTATTGGACTTAAAGAAAGATAGAGTTTTTTTCTTGTATTCAAGGGGCAAAAGAATATGACGAGATCGCAATTTATCTCCTAGTACGTTCTGATACGTTAAGTGCGATTTCTCTTATTTTTTTGAGACGGTTTACATATATTTTGTACTGACTTCAGAAACCTTTGCATTAGGTTTGATCAAGGTGAGGAAGACATTCATTCGATGAAACTGAAGCCCACTATCTTTGAGGGATCAAGTCTCAGGGATTCATTTGTAAAAGTGAAAAAAAAAATGTTACATTTTTTAGATAAAATACATTTCCAGGCTGACAATTATAACAGGAAGAGAGAAAAAATTCAATTAACGGGATAAAGAAAATCTATTTTTATATATGGGATTTAAGGATTAAATAAAGCTGTCTTTTTTTGTTTCAGGAGATTGATGAAATCTTAACTTATAGATATCATAGGAAAATAAGGAGAACTAATCTCTAGTTTCGGCTTTCAAACCATGGCCAGTACTTACCGAAATCCCCCTCCTCATTGATTTCTGATACCGAAACAGCAACCACGGAGATAACAAATTGTGCAGATATTATCATGACAATTATAATCAACAAAGTACTTGTAGGCATCTGTGATGGACGAAATCTGTTGTAAGATAGAACGGCAAACTCAGTTAGAAGGAAATAGTAATGGTGGCACTCTCTCTTGAGAGATTCATTCAAAAATTGTTTTTTCAGGAATTGAAGGCAAAATGTGCTATCTGGGGTTTCTGCATTCTCGTGTGACAGGAATTGAATTAAATGGTGGAAATTAGTAAAGAAGAAATGCAAACAGTAAACTGGTATGATTTGTAGCATGTAGCCATAACAGCGTAGTTCGTTGTAAACGAATAGAAGTCAAAATTATTATATTTTCACTTAGTTCATGGCAAGGTTAGTTTACTGTATTGATATTCTGATCAGTGCGGAACTTAGACTGATAATCGTTCCCTGGCAAGATTCTGACTTAAACAACACGAATAGCCTAATGAAATGCGATATTTGGATTTTGAAATAATAGTGATTTCAAAAACATGCGAGAGCTCCAAAACTAAATGAAACGGTTCCGTTTTAGACTGAATTACACCCTGATCTTTCCCAGGCAAGGCTTTCAAATTGATACAAAGTTGATGCCTTTGCACTTTTTATGAGCAAAGTTCATTTGTCTACATTCGAGTCTTTAATTTCCGCCATTTAGGGGGGCATCGGCGCTCGTTTAGATTTTAAGAATTTTCTAGGACACAAAAGCAGATCAAGGCGAAAAAACACATTTGAAGAGAGCAATTTTTCGCTGTGCCACATCTCCAAGGCTCACGCTGTATTGGAAAAAAAAACTCGTTCTTGATATCGTGACGTAGATTTATAAAACAAGGCGAAGATGTTTTCTGTGCTGAGTAAGAGCCGTGTTGCAGACGACGGTTCTCCTCTTTCCCCTACACTTTGCAATTGTCTGCATTATTGCTTGACTTATCAACCATTTACTGCGAAATTTGATGTGGGAAAAGAGTAGTTACCGAAGCAGCACGATAGTTTCAACTTAAAGACACAAAATGTGGCTATAAAAGATCTGCACTAAATCAATAAAGTTGTAAAATAAATATCGTTATTGTAGTATGTATATGTATGCCTGATCACAACTTACAGCGTCGAACGCAAGGTTTAACCACTTCCTTTTCTTGGACCTTTCCTCGTTGCTCTCCTCGCTCCCAGTTGGCAACAATGGTACAGGGAAAACAAAAACCTTGGATAAAAATAGAATTGGCTCTATCAAAAGAACAAAGCACAAATAAAAGATCCTAATTTGCTCATGTAGTGAACGTGATTCCTCGGCTGGACGGTCTACCTTTGATAAAGGGAACTTTTTATTGCCGATCAAAGGTGTAATAGGCGGCGGTGCCCAGAAAAGGAGCCGAAAGGTGAAACCCAAACAGAGCCCACCTCAGGAGCCTACCTGCAGGTTAAACAGAAGGTATTAAGAGGTCTTCTACGAGGTAGAAGACGCCAGTAACTGGCTTTTATTAAAGCTCTGTCTTTCCTTCCTGGTGTTTCTAAGATGACTGC